AAGTCCTTTTATGTCAGAGTTCCGGCAGAGGAATGTTCGCCTGCTGCTGCTGCTGCTGCTGCTGCTGTTGTTGTTGTTGTTACTGCTGCTGCTGGTTTATGGCCTGTAAGACCTCCACCACCTGGGTTTTAAGACGTGCACTAACACACACATACAGAGGAGTTGTCGCCCACAGGGCGCCACCTGGATGAGATCAGGCTTTTGTGCGATTTTTTTTTCTCTGGGTTTAGTTCGGTGCTACGTTATGGTTATTCTGCCGAAGTTGATTAATTCTTACATGGGAATAAAATTTCCATTGAATTCAACCGAAATCCAGATGATTTTAATGCACTAAGGACAAAGGGGGGGGGGACTTTACAGGAATGTAACGTTTTTTACGACATCTGCCCTTGAAATGACCAGGACAGTTTCCGTTTACTTCTGTTTATGTTCGCCACCGTTTGAGCCACAGAATCTCGGTGCTGTCTCACAAATAAAAAAAAATAAATCGCTAGAAGACGGACAAAAGCTAAAAAAAAAAAAAGCTATATTTATAAATATTTAGTAAAAGAATTAGGAACATTTTTTTTTTTTAGCCAAGAGTCACAGAATTGTACTAAAAAGGACCAAAATTTGGAAAACCTAATTAAGGCAACACTGTGTTTTTATCGTTCTGAGATTTTGTTTTCCCTTTCTTATTGTCTTTATCGTTCTAATACAAATGAGATTTTGTTTTCCCTTTCTTATTGTCCTAATATTATGTCTTTATATTCAAATATAAATATAAAAAACAGAGGAAATCGCAGTGGACGGAGCTGGAAACATTTCTCGAACATTCTCTTTTAAAAAGCCCTGCTGCAGCCAGAGCGTCATGATTTATTCATATCATTCGGGTGAAATGTTTGAAGAAATGCTGCGCATGAAAGCGAAAAGTACATTTCCATGCGATGGAGCCGGTGGGATTTTTGACTGAGCGGAAATGTGGTGGGCTTTAGAGAAGACGATCTGGAAGGAGATGAGACGGAGACGGTGAAGATCTCAGAGCTGCTGCTGCTGCTGCTGCTGATGAGTTTTCCAACCTTTCAAACCTCCTGCAGGATATTACAAAATAATTCACTGTTATTTTTCTCTCAGGTTACATGTCTTTTGAACACCAACCAAAATGTCAGCGCGTATATTTAGTGATGTAATGGGAGACGCAGTGACATCGTCCCTCGCTCTTCTCATAAAGAGGAAACGCTTTTGATGATCCTAGGAACATCTTTAATGACTCGTATTATCAACGTTCAGATGAATTCATCTGAACAGAAGAAACAATTTTATTTACTCTCTGCAGCAAAGTCCGAAGAGAAAAAAAATCAATGATTTGACACCACGCCACCAAGCTCTGCTGACTCAGATCAAATGTGTTTTTGCTCTGGGACTTCTAAGGGTTTCAATTCTTCTTTGGCTTGTGTTCACGTGACCTTCATGAAGTCACCAAAATAGTACCAGCAGCTCCGTGTGTCTCTACGTCGGCGCTAAGAACAGGGAACCAGGAAGTGGAAGCAACGCAACACAAAACCTTCAGTTTGGTTCAGACGGTGGTATTTTCAACCGACTATTTTGGTTGTCGGTAAATATCTAAGATTTCAACTCATGATTCAGCTACATCTCTGGCCAGGAAATGACAAGTTAGTGCTAACTTAGCTGAGGAGAACCCTGCTCCAAATGTGCTATCGGTTGCTAAGGTCTTTGGTTCTTGACCATGGAAAAAAAAGGCTGAGCCGCAAATGAGTCGAGAGCATATGTGTCAAACTCAAGGCCCGGGGGCCAAACGAGCCCCGTCAAGTCATTTTGTGTGGCTTAAAAAGTGTTTCCTTACACAGAGCACTTTACAATATCTGTAACTTAAATAAATAACAATCAATTGCAGAAACATGTACCGTAATGTCCGGACTATAATCTGCCCTTTTTTTTCTCACATGCTTCGAACCCTGCGGCTTAAACAATGACGCGGCTAATTTAAGGAGCGGCTGATAATCAAGACCCCAACTTCCCTGTTTTTGTTTACCTCTGCTGACAAGCACAGAGTGAAGGGAGTTAGCCCCGGAGCTAATGTTAGCTTCAGACCTGTAGAAGATCACTACGTTAAAGCA